CCCCCCCGCCCACTACCCCTCTCACTACCACCATGCCAATTTTCAGGTGATGTATCAGCTTCAGGTGTAAAATAAAAATGACTCTTTAGCAGACCCCTTCTAGATACTTTTCATAAATCCTATTCATCCCTCACCATCACTGACGGCTTCAGTTTACCAGGTGTAGGGCTCCTGCATTGACAAAACAGCTGCAGTTGCTGGTAATTTCTGTGGCCACCACTGTTCCTGCTGAGCAATGCTGCCTGAGACCCCTCACTTTTCCCTGCTGTGCTGCTGAGCCATATCCCCTGGATCATTTCCATCCCTACCTCAAGAGTACCAGGATCTTCCAGGAAAGAAGCCTCCTCCCAGCTCTGGAGGAACATGGCAGTTCTGCTGAAAATGAATCTTTTTCTAGTCCGGTGGTGACAGCAGAAGAGAGTCCTGGTTATTTCCCTGCTTCTTTAGATTTTAGCCCATTGTATCAGGTAAGTTTCCTCCTCAAGGCCTTTGTACCCTGCACTGCCTTTTGCCAGGTGTAATCATGAGGTTCACTCCCAACTTCTGTTTAAATAGCACCTGTTCAACAGGGCTCTCCTGACCACCCAATTAAAATTGTATATTATCCCACTCTTCATCTAGTGTTCCCTAACCACCTTCCCTATATTTTCTCTTCCATAGAACTTATCTAATACATTTTATAATATATTTACTTACAGATTTTGTTTATGTTGGCCTCTTCCCTGGAATAAAGATGCCATAGAAGTTGGAATTTTGTCTGATTCATACTGGATCCAAAGAACCTAGAATACTGCCTGATACTGCATAGATGCTTAATAAATATTTGCAGTAATTAATAGTACCTGGAGAGCAGCTTCTTACTGCCTCCTTGCCATCCACACAAGTCCCAGGAACATTTACCATCTGGTGAAAATGGAAGTGGGCCGGGAGTCAATTTGAAATTCATGTGCCCCTCACTGCCCCAGAGAGAAAGTAGGAATCTCTCATGTCACTTTCCTGCTCCATTTCCCCTTTCATGGAAGTGCAGTGTCCCCTCTCCACCAGTCACCCCTAACTAACTACCAAAGTTGGTCTCTACTTCACTGGAGCTTTAGATTCTGTGCCAACTTCTGTTTTTTTGTGGCACATATTTCATATGAACTATATGATATTTAAAGTTTATCATAATTATCTAACCATAGAAAAGTTATTTGATTTTTACAACTTAGTGAGAGCAGTTTGAGAAATATTAACTCTACATTAATTTATGCAAAAACGTATTTAACCAAAAAATTAATTGTGTAATTAAAAACATCAAATTTGAATAAAATGTCACAACACAAAACCTTTTCAAAAAGAGACATATTTTAATGATGAAAGATACCATTAGTAAAATTTTTCTGTATATAGCTTTTGTGATATTAAACATGTACTGTCATGTATATATTTATATAGTTAAAATGATAAGAATACAGTTTGTTTTAACAAAAAAGAGCTATAAATTTAAAGTTTTTTTAAAAAAGGAAAGTTCTGCTTAGAAAATGACACTTAGGAGTAATGGCACCTTGACTAGGGAATGAAAATAACAACATATATTTAAAGCCTTTTTAATATAAACCTCACTACAAATATCCAATTCTTTTGAAAACAATATATAGAAAAGTAAAAAACATCTAAGGTATTTTAAGGTACAAGTTTGGCTAATGGTTGCTGAATTATAAAATTTCCTACTTGACAAATTTTCCTAGATAGGACAAAACTTTTTCTATTTAAAAGGTAATATAAACCAGGAGAGCTAATATTGGACCATAACAAAAGTTTACTTTAGGTTATTTCAATATATTAACATAAGAAAATTCCTTTAAAAAAAGAATTTTAAGCCAATAATAGGCATTAAAATTAGCCATTTGGTTGAGGTTAATTTTCTATAGTCAAATAAACAAAAAAAGCTCCCCTCCCTCCACACCACCAAATAGCAATGGAACAACTGATCCCAACGTGTCCCTAACATATGTTTGTTTGTTTTAACGAAGATTAGTTACCATCTGCTAGAATCCCAGCCCAGGAACCAGCCTGTGAAGGTGGGTGGCTCATGGCCCTGTTTTATGATGACAATTGGTGTCCTCTTATCTCTTCCAGAAGGGTCTGTCTCAAGATACATTTTGGCTAAACAGAGTTATAAAGACATAAATGCAGTTAGTTTTGGTTGAACTAAAATAACTATAGAATGAAAATTCTTCCAGTACAAGCAATAGATTAAATTTTCATTGTCTTCAAGTAATCAAATATGAACCATTTCTTACTGATTTTTTTTCATCTGCCACGGAAAGCACCATTATAAAGTCTCATTATTGTCTGAAAGAATTGCAAACTTTATGGAATTATCTTTATAGTATAATTAAGGTTCAGTATTACTCAAAAGGAAGTTTTTAAAAAAATCTATATAATCTGTTATGGAGGTTTTACTATTTTCATAATAAAACAGGGTTTAAGTGAATTTTACATTTTTAGAAATAATTATATTCTAAAGTAGGCAACAAAACATTTTCTTGTGCCTGTGCTGGAATTTTTCAGTTAAAAAAAATTCCATTGCCCCTTAGGTTTTAGGATGATGGCTAAGCTCTTTCTCTGCTTCAATATGGATTTGGGGAAGATGTGGTAATAAAGAGCAGCCAGGTGCTTGGTAATGACCTTGCCAGGTTACTCTCATAATTGTCCTTGGAATCTAGCTTACCAGACTTCAGCGATTCTGACTTCTCGACTTCATTGGCATCTTTGCCAACCCAAATAAATATCTGGAAAATGAAACAATAACAATATGGACCAGTTTTGGAGCATTGCCTGGGTGCCAGGCACTATGCCAAGTCCTACACACACACACACACACACACACACACACACACTGCTCATTTTATCTGTGTGGCAGCCCCAGAAGTGAGGGAGGCGCAGTGCAGGTGGGGGCTGAGAAAGTTCCATACTTCCCAATGTTCACTCTCACCAGGAGACACCTAAATTTGTACCCTGCTAATTTGACTAGACTTCACATTCACATTTCATGTTTACACGGCATTTTCTAGTCTGTAAAGTGATCTTTCACGGAAACAACAGATTGGTTGGGGTTTGTGTATCCACCCCTTGAAGGGTAGAAGACAAGAAATCATCATCCCTATTTCCCAGGTGTAGGTCCAGGCTGCAGAGGACCACATGGAGAAAATTATTTGTGGAATTCCCCAGACTCAGTTTAGGACTCTCTGACTTTAAGTCTAGTGTTTTTCTCCTATAGTATTATGCCCTATTAAACTTTGTTAATGCACTATATTGTTTAGTATCAAGGATTAAAAACTTCTACCCATTCATCTAATGAAGGGCATCTAGGTTGGTTCCATAGTTTAGCTATTGTGAATTGTGCTGCTATAAACCTGCTCTTCTGCCATGATGTTTTACTTCACCAGGGATTCACAGCAGGGTAGGCAGCCTACTTTGGACTGCACCTATGAAACTGCAAGCCAAAATAAACTTTTTATCCTTAAAAAAAAAAGGATTAAAAACTTCTTAATTATATAACATTTGTATATATATATGTGTGTGTGTGTGTATATATATGAATGTTATAATTAAGAAGTTTTTATATATATATATATGAGATCTGCATTATTATGTAAAATCTGTAATACATACAATCTGATACATATTCTTTTCTTTGCCAAGTGTGTAGGTTGAGTATTTTAATGCTGAAAAATCCTTCTGAATTACCTTATACTTAAATCACTTTAAAATCACTTGCAAGCAGAGCAATTTTGGTAAAATTAAATTTTGCTTGTGTTCTAATTCACACACAAGTATTGGAATACTTGTGAGCAGAGAACAGAACATATCACAACAGCATGGGAATTTAAATAAAAAATATGATTTTTAATGAAATATAGTCAGAGGAAAATCTAGGACTAGACTCCCAATTCAATTATGGTCCTTGTAGATCAAGAGGTAAAAGGATATTTTAACTGAGTGGCTTAGCCACTAGAAATAGACCTAACAGTAACAATTTCTTTCTTCTTTTATGAAACTTGATTCTTAACATACTTATTTCTCCTTTCCATTATAGTTAGTTTACATAAAGATTTCTAAAAACCGTTCGATGTGGCATGTTGAATCACTACTAATTTTCTCCTAAATTAAGATATATAAAACAGTAACATATTTTACTGTTTGGATTCAAAACTATTCTGTGCCTGCTTCTTCCTCAGAGGAGGGCTCCCCTACAACCTCTTGCCAAATTCCCACAGAAATTCTCAGTATTTGGCTTCCCCCATGGTATTGTACTTATTATAATATTTATTAGTAAAATGAACACATGAATAAATCAGAAGTACCTTTCACAGTAAATGAAAAGTAGAAGTTTTTTGCCTAAAGCTATAGAGCCAAAGATGATAGCTATGGAATTATTCCCACAGTAAAAACTCAATTTGCCCTATGAATGTTGTTTTTTTTGCCAAACTATGTCGATTCTTTTCAATATCACCATTTCTCAAAGCAGGTTCTGTCAGTTCCCAACCATAAGTATATTCTCTTGTTATGAACAAAATGTTATGGCTACCTGTTCCCAAGCATCTAGCAACATGACATCATCTTCCGCTAAATCGTCCTGTGTGAACTCTCCTGGAACTTCTTCAATCTGAAATGTATGAAAAGCTTTATGACCAAACAGTAGGATCATTATTATCCAACATATTATGTTGGAGGGCAGTAAAAACTTTAGTAGATATTTTCTTCTTTTTGGGGGGGGGGTAACAAAGAATTAAAGAATTGTTCATCTGTTTAAACAGGTGTCACAAACTGATGGCACAGTTTGGTCAGTATGCAACTCTGTGCATTTGTATGCTTCCAGGAACAAGAATGCAGACGTCAATCTGACCATAGATCTCTGTGTGAGCAGCTCTTCATGACAAGCTACATCACAGAGTTTGTTGCCTATGGAGTCTCTAAAAACATTGGATTTTATGGTCTAGGTATTAAATTGCCTTTTGTTTTATAGATCAAGACTTTTAATAAAAGTCAATAGATCTGGTCATTTACTAAGTCAACCATTTTCAATAAGGCACATGCAAAGTTTTATTATTTTTATTTTGAGGGGGTTAAATTGTATTCCCTATAGTTAACATAAAATGGTAATGGGTAGGATTAGTTTAATCCACCCATCACCATTAGTTCAGTATCTTTGGAGAATTTTGCACAAACCCTGATTCTTTGGGAGGCATGGTAGATTGGACTATGGTTCCTAATTCTTCACTCTTTTGCTCTGCCATTTGACTTTGCAGTGCAGTCAAACAGTTGGAGATGACTATCACCTTGGCCATGTTGTATTAGCAAACATGACTCAGCAGGGGTTATCTTGTTTTCTTGGGCTCTGTCACAGGAAAAACTGACATAAAACCAGACTGCAGCCCATAAGAGAAGCTCCAGGAAGCTCAGCCTGCATAAACCCAGTCCCAGGCAACCTCCAGACTTCTCAGCATAATTCATGTTTGTTATACTGGGATAATATTTTGAGGTCCTTATTCAAAAAACAAGCAAAAAAATCCTACAAACAATGATCATTTATAGAGAACAAGGGGTTTGTTTATGTTATCTTTTTATAGAATATTTACTAAGCACATAAGTTTTAAAAACCAAAACCTAACCTAGCCTGCACAATGCTGTGCCTGCAATCCTAGGGACTCTGGACTGAAGATAAAAAAGGACTGGGGCTATGACTCAGTAGTATACTTAGTTCATCTCCAGTATTGAAGAAAAAGAAAAAAAAGAAAGAAACCACCTTACATATCACGTACTCTGTACCAGGCACTGTTCTAATTTTTTAAATGAAATAATTAACTTAATATTCACAGAATATTCACAACAACCACATGAAGTAGGTACTATGACTTTTTCCATTTAACAGATGAGAAAACACAACATAGAGGATAAGGAACTACACTAGGGTCACACAGTCTAGGAAATCTCACCAGATAAGTGAAATCAGGTAGACTAGTTACAAAAATTGTGTTTTTAACCAATAGGCTCTGCCACCTTATGTGAATCTATTAACACCTACTTTCTGATGGTAATTATAAGGTCAAACTCTTGTTAATAACAATTCTTTTCCTTAAACTATGAAGGGAACAGAAGGGATTTCAAGGATCAAACAAGAAAATGAACAGATAAAAAGGTAAGATATATTTCTTAAGGAGGCTGATTCATAGTGGGGTAGGGAGGGGGAATGTGGGAGGAATAGATGAGCTCTAGATAGAACTGAGGGGTTGGAGGGGAAGGGAGCGGGGTATGGGGTTAGAAATGATGGTGGAATGTGATGGACATTATTATCCAAAGTACATGTATAAAGACACAAATTGGTGTAAATATACTTTGTATACAACCAGAGATGAAAAACTGTGCTCTATATGTGGAATAAGAATTGTAATGCATTCCACTGTCGTATATAAATTTAAAAAAAGAAAAGAAAAAAAGAAATATATTAGATTGTCAAAAAAAGGTAAAATATATTTCTCAAGAGGCTAACATATGCATCTGATCAAAAAGAACAGAAAAATTAATAGATCTGTTATGGTTTAGATATAAGGTGTCCCCCAAAAGCTCATGTGTAAGAAAATACAAGAATTTTCAGAACTGAAATGATTATATTATGAGAGGTGTCACCTAATTAGTGGAAGCAGGAGTGCAGGGGGGTGTGGCTGGAGGAAGTAGGTTCCTAGGGGCATGCCTTTGAGGTTTATATTTTGTCCTGGGTGAGCACAGCTCTCTCATTCTGCTTACAGATTGCCATGTCCGGAGCTTCTTTTCTTCTCCATGCCCTTCCCCCAAGACACTCTGCCACATCTTGGGTCCAGAGCTATGGAGTCAGCTAACCGTGGACTGAGATCCCTGAAACTAAGAGCCAAAATAAACTTTTCCTCCTCTAATTGTTCTTATCAGGTCTTTTGGTCAGAAAAAAAAATGCTGATTAAAGTAAGATTTTTTAAAAAAAAAAAACTTGACTGAGAACAAAGTCTAGATACTTATTTTTGTAAAATATATCTTCCTTGGAAATAAACATCAAATTTGTAGCAATATTAGCAAGTAACTCTAATAAAAAATATAGAAACATATGCCCAAAAAAAGTTGTTTGGATGCAATATCTAGTTAATAGTCAAAACAACAAAATAGCAGATTTTTCTGATAACAAGTTTATAAAATATAGAAAATACAAGGATTTTTCTACAAGGTAGGAAATAAACTATGGAGCTCAGCAACTAAGTATATATCACAATCCTCTATTAAATCTTTGATTTTTAGGTCAGTCAAGTCACATAATAAGCTGCCAGTGTGGTTTGTACATGCACAGTTTCAGCAAAGCATTCTGTATCTAGCATCAAAGGCACCTGGGAAAATATTCAGAAAACTCTGTGTGTGTGTGTGTGTGTGTGTGTGTGTGTTTTGAAAACAAAGCCTGTATTTACCAGAAATGTTGAACAGAATTTGTAGATCAAATTTTATATGGAAAAAAGAATTCATCCTTTAAGTTTATACAAAAGTCCAGGGTGTCAGACAACAGAATTTTTCCAGTTAAACTGAGGTGAAGGGCTATAGACTAGGATCATATTTCAGATTTTAATGTAAAATCAATCTTGATATGTCATGGATGGCATATTCACATTCTCCCAAAACTCATAGGTTGAAGCCATAAGCCCTAGTGGGATGGTAGTAGGAGGGGGGCCTTTGGGAGGTGGTTCAGCTGAGTTAAGGTCATGGGAGCAGAACCCCATGGTGACAGTAGTGCCACAAGAAGAGAATAAGACTCAAGCTCACCCTCTTGGCCAAGTGAGAAGGCCAGGCAGTAGCCCTCACCAGACAACAAGTCTGCAGGTACCTTGACCTCAGGTCCCTCTACCTTAGACTTCCCAATCTCCAACACTGTGAGAAATAAATGCTTATTATTTAAATCACCCTGTCTGTGGTATTTTTGTTATAGCAACCTGAGCTAAGACTGTTACATAAATCCTTCTAATTTTACTTTTCATTGCTTGGTATTCAAAGCTTGTGATTATACAACAAAACATTCCTACATATGTAGCTTTCTGTGATTTTGTCTGACGATCTTAGTATTTCCTTAATATTTTTTATTCATCCAACATTGAGAAAGCATTTATTCTCTCGGGAAACTGAAATGCAAACCTTACATTAGATAAGAGTTGACTGCTACCCACAGAAAGTATCTAATTATGAAATTGGCAAATCTAACCATTTACAATTCATACAGCAATTATTGAATGCAGACACAGATGCAAAATGGCTGATGCCTTTAAGAGCACCTTGACTTATACACTACTTTACAGTATTCTTAATGCTTTCACGTCTACCACATCATTGACCCTTCAACTACCCTGGAGAGAGCAAAGATTATTGCAGGGAAGCTGAACCTAAGAAACACAGCTTTCACAAGGCTGCAGAGTGTCAGAGCCAACAAAGAATGCATCTCGATACGTTTAGTTCTACCTCACTGCTTCTTAAAACACTTACAATGAATCTTCCAGTTTTGTTGGAGCAGCCATAAAGCCGAGGTGGATGGTCTTCAGCCTGCGTTTCCAGCAGTGGTGAAGTCTGGTAGTCTTTTTTCCCTCCAAGGGAATTCCAGAATTCCTCTGTCAAAAACACACTGAGTTACCCAATACATATCCAGGAGCATATGGTTTGTGTTGTTTCACATTAACAATAATAATATCTCATCTTAATTTTAACTCTAAGACACTACTTAAGCTGGGTGCCAGTGGCACACATCTGTAATCCCAGTGGCTCAGGTGGCTAAGGTAGAAGGATCATGAGTTCAAAGTCAGCCTCAGCAACTTAGCAAGACCCTAAGCAACTCTGCAAGACCCTATCTCTAAATAAATAAATTATATATACACATTTACTTGTTTGTTTATTTTTTAAAGGGCCGGGAATGTGGCTCAGTGGTGCTTAAGTGCCCCTGCGTTCAATCCCCAATTTAAAAATAAAACAGACATTACTTAAATATACTAATTCTAAACCCTCTCTAATCTTCAAAAAAAAATGATGACTATTTATGAAAAAAAGAGATTAGCAAGCATCCTAAATACAAATTCTGGCTACTGTCTTTGGCCCACAACACATACCTGGTTCCCCGCCTTCTTGAATCCTAGCAGTTTTGCACTTGAGGACATTTGCTACATACTCTGCTCCTTTCTCCTCCTCCTGGCTAGCACCTTTTCCAATCCAGATGTAGCCATTGTTGTTTCGAAGTTTCAGGACAAAAACATCATTGGAATTCAATGAATTTGCATCAACATCAACCTAGAGTATAAAGAAAAATACCACCATGATACAAATTCATTGTTGATTCTCCAACAAACATTTCCTGAAGTTGTGACTGTGACAAACCATTTCCAGACTTCTGTCCTACCCTGGAAGATTAATTCGGGGCAGCAGTGCCACAATCCTATGGCATCGTATCACTTTAATGCTCATCTGTCCTCAGACATTAGCACAGGTTCTAAGAATGACATCAGTCACACTTGCATGATAAGAATTAAGGGTTTGGCAAAGGCTGAATGTTCTCTTTGATATGTGGGTGCTAACTCTCAATAAGTTGCGGGGGTTGGTAGGGAAAAATAGAAGTACTTTTCATTAGACAGGGGAATAAAGGAAAGGGAGGGGGAATGGGAATAGAAAAGAGAGTAGAATGAATCGGACATAATTACATTACCAGTGTAATTGTATATCATGTACAACCAGAAGAATGGGAAGTTATTACTCCATATATGTATAATATATCAAAATACATTCCGCTGTCATGTATAACTAATAAAAACAAATTAAAAAAAGAATTAAGGGCTTGGAAAAGTCACAATGATAATATTCAAATATATTGTGAGAACAAAGACAAGCTATAAGTGATGACTGGAAAGAGGGTGTAGTATTCAAATGAGACACACAAAGCAAAGATATTCAATGTTTCTTTCCCCAACTAAAGAGTAGTTTATCACATCACCAAGGAAAAACCTAAACACCATAGAACAAGGACAGGAGGTTAATGTGGAGACAAAGAGAATACTACAGACTCACTAAAAAGTTCTTCAGACTCAGAAAAATTATAGCTCAAATCATAAAAGACACTGGCATACCCCTTCATTCCAACCAAGAAGCTATGGACACTGCCTGGTTTCAGACGGGGGGACAGAGTTCTGGTCCACATGATCACAGAGCAGAGGGGCCTGACTGGGCCCAAACTCTGGCCTAAGGGTGCAGCTCCAGGTTTGACCTCTGGGCAGGGACAGTGCACTTGCAGGGTCTTAGGCTTGATAATGAGCATGCCTATGACCTGGTGGTTGTGCAACTCTGTGTCCCTCTCAGTGAGAAGCTATCTATGATACTATGTAGCTTTGTCACTGTGTATGACTTTCTGCACATGGTGGAGCTGAGTGTGATGAGTGATTCCAGGGAAATGAGGAAGAACCAGGAAGCAAGACTGAGGTGGAGCAGCCAAGAGTGTAGAGATCTCCGGGCCAAGTGCAGAGCATGTTTCAAGAAGGCAAGGGTGACCTGCTGTGCCAAAGGATGCTGCTTGCCCACCTCTGAACTGCCAGGGCAAAGTCAAGGCTGCATGGAGAGATGGACTTCACCAGTTTTGTCAGGACCCTGTACCTAGAGAGAACACTAGAGATATAAGGAACGGTTGTTGGAGTTTCAAAGTCATGCCTCAGGGGTTGGTATTACCCAAGAAAGTGGTGATAGTCCTCTCCTAGTAGGAAAGAGGTCCTCTGGACCAAGCTCAAAGGAACCCATCAGATGTGGTGATGAAGAATTATAGGAACAGG